AGTATTGATCCATTTGATCGATCGCCGTACTTTGAGAAAAGCTTGAAATGCAAAATTCACAGGAAAGATTGAAGAATTTCGGAGATAAAAACTGTTTGTCTTCGAGTTTCACCTGTTCACCCCCCGGCTGAGAAAAGTAACAATTACGTAATGTTGGAGTCACGTGACCAGCGTTTACCAGGGCTACGTCGCCGCCTTCAATTCGCGACTAGCCCTGGGTACGAGGTTGGAAATTGGGGTTCGGGCTAGGATAGATTTAGCGCTATAGGATTAGGGACGGTTGCTGTAGGTCAAAGTAGAGTAATCTTTTCAGCTAGCGATATATTGAGGGATTTCTTATTTTTTAGTCACTTCCGGTGTGTTACGAGAGATCTGGATTGGAAATCAGGACGTCATCATGAGAGAAGCGTCCAGAATTGTGGCTTTGAGTGGCTATCCAAACTATCCGACCTTCAGACACGTCGTGGAAAACTTTACTACCCCTAGTAGCGCGCGAGCGTACTATGGACAACGCTTGAGATCTTGGTTCCATGCGCCCGAGAGTGGAAATTATAAATTTACAATCAACTGCCCGTATGCTTGCGATTTTTATTTTACTTACAAACATGAATTGACAAAGAAACTCTTCTATATCTCGACCGGGTAGGTAAAAATTATATCAGGTTATGGATTAGAAATTATATCAGGATCGACTTTGCGAATGCTAGACAATAAATTTCAGAATTTGTAACCGTTGTTCATTACAAACACTTGAAGCAATTTTTCAAATAGGACTATTAAGAGTTGACTAAAATTCAAGTCCGCCCAGTTTGATCAAGTAGAAACAAAGCAGAGGAATTGATCAAAATACGAAACTTGAAATTTAGTCGTCACTAGTCCGAATTGGGCAGGATATGAAATGGTTTCTCGTGCGAACTTAAATCACCATAAAGTGAGGCGAATTACTTTTGATTGAGGCCAATGTCTGATATAGCGACGTGTTTAGCCGGCTTCTTTTTTCACACGTTCCGCTAAACCATCAAGTTAACATTTCGGACCAGTGATCTGGATTTATGTGTGGGAACTCCATATTTTGCTTGGGTATGATTTCCTGTTATTCTACTTATTCTCCCCAAAGTATTGTTTATGGAACTCACTATAACTTATACAAAGAATATTTTTAGACCAGTTGCCAAAACTACAGAAGAATTAACCTTGGTTGCTGGTGAGCTATACACTTTAGATGTAGTGATGGTCTTCAAAAATCCTTCTCCTGAATTCAGTCTTGGATTTCAGCACATAGGAAGTGGTCTTATACAGAATCCTATTGGGAGGGAATATCTCATGTGGAAACCTAAACGTAAGACTTATATACATTTTGTAATTTTCATATAAATTTTCTAATCCCATCCTAATCATAACAATAACAGTTCGGAGTCCTAACCATACCCAATCCATGATGCCCTGACAGAAGCAAACATACACGCCATTATATCCTACGAGAAGCTATCTGTGCGAACTTTTTTAACTCGATTGTGAATAACCACGATAACGAATTAAATAAGTTGCTACGCACGACCAACGAAGCATCTTAGGAACTAAGACAGAACAGGCATTTGCAATTCCCAGTTAGAGTACCAACAGGTTTAGAAATGCTTTTATTATGTCTTCCACCATTGAAAATGTTTGATCTGAATGACATTTTACCATTAGCCTATATATAATGTTATCTGGCACTTTTAATCCAGATATATTTATATATAACTTTGAAGATAATTAACTGTTAGGATAACAGGGTGCAGAGGAGTCGAGTTCGTTTAGTAAAACAAAACAACCACCGTCTTACCCTGTTTATTGTCATATATTTCATTGTAGAAAATTCCACTGTGTGCATTATAAACAAATGCATATTTTATTATAATATATTGCTAGTCTGTTGAAATTATCGTGAAACCATAACAATATTGTATGATTGTATATTTCGTACTTCGTGTAACATGAACACCAAATGAATATACTGTGAAGGTATCGATTATTGTGGGCTCACATTTCGCTAAAATGGGACTGACTATAGGAAACGAAGAAAGAGAGGAGACAGTCACTCATTGGGGTGATATTTTAGGATGGCTATAACTTGCTTAATATTTCATAAATGAACATAATTTTAAATGTATACAATCTACAAATTGTCTGTTCTTACTACTTTAAGAAATAAATTTCATTATAATATAACTGGCATACAGCAGACAATTTGATTGCCTATTTAATGCGCGTGATTGTGACGCAATAATGCACTGTGTTCTGTAGTGCCTTGCTCTTTCTGTGTTTTTCTCCCGCTTCATCCGAGGCTTCATCTTTTAGCCGAAGATATAAACAAAACGATAGACTTCTCAAATAAGAACTATATAATAATAAGACTTCTCAAATTTTTTTATTGTTTTTGCTGCTTCGTTCGCTTGAAAGCGACGTCGACAGTAAAAGCATGCGCGTGACGTCACATTTGTAACTCATTGCCATACTATATCCATTTACTCTGAAGATGTCTTAAGTTAAAGACGAAACGTTACTCACTCAATAGTACTCCTGAAATAAATTTTATGTCTATATTCTTGTCTATATGGCTCTTTTGCGTACGTTATGCTTGGCATTAATCTTTGTATTACAATTACGATTCCCGCCTGGTTCATCACTGTCTTGCAAGTATATTGAAATAATTATATTCAATTACAATTAACAAGGTAAGACGGTGATTGTCTTGTTTTACTAAACAAACTCGACTCCTCTGCTGCCTGTATCAAAATTTGAACTCAGCATGCTTTGAGATACTTTTATATGAGTCCCATTGAAATTCTATTAGTTTATATTCTTTTAATAAATTTTACCGTATTTTAATATTGCTGTAATATATTTTATACTAATTGTTTGTAGTTTTGTAAATATGGAATTCAGCTGCGCATATATTTTCATTAATAAATCGTAGTCGTAGTCGCAATCGTAATCGCAATAGTCAACGTAGTTATTCTTATTAGTAATTATTAATACTATTTCTTATTATTTATTTTTAATTATTCTTATTTTTATTAATTATTATTATTCTGCATTATTATAATTCTTATTGATGATAACTCTAATTCTTGTTGCTCTTCTCCAGACGAACTCCTCATTCCAGAAAGTCTTCTCATTAACAAACTCAACCTCTCTCTCAACTTACAGTACAAGACAGTTCGGTCTCTCTACTTCTACTCTGATCCATTCCTTTTTCTACTTTTGTAATATAATATCTTGTAAATAGTTGTAATTTATTCATATTTCTGTGTTTTCCGCTTTGTATGTCATTGCTCTGAAGATGTCTTAAGTTAAAGACGAAACGTTAGCTTTCTAATAAATATTTTAAACTATGTTATTGTTATGGCTCTTTTACGTATTTTATGCTGGGCATTAATATTTATTTTAAGATTACAATTTCCGCTTGGTTGATCTATCGCAAGTAATTCTTATTCAAATCCAGATGTAATGACAACAAATAATTTGTTGCAGCATTACAAGGCGTGGCAAGAAGCGTGTGGAACACCCGCTTCTATTCTATGTCATCTCGATATGATGTGCGATGGTTTATAGAAAGATTTCCCCTACCAGACCACCAAGACGTGTTAACAAAGTTTGAAGTTCCTGAATATGGTCGTTACTATGCGCAAAGACTTGAGGCGTATTTACTTGCTCCAACGAGTGGGTCCTACAACTTCTATATGGCGTGTTCTGAAGGATGTTATTTCTATCAAGGCGATGTTTACAGGTTCAGCTCGTCTGGGGTGAGCGCTACATCAAAGTATACCGGGTAAGAAATATAAAGACTCAAATTAAAAACTGAATATAACGACCTTACAAGTCCTTCAGTGTCTGTGAATATTTGACCCTACTAGAGGAAACAGTTAGAGCTATCAAACATCAATTGAGTTAGTTTAGATTAGGTTTTTTCTGATGATAATAATGGATCAATACGACTGATATCTATGGACATGACCCTTACAGAAGCTCTAGGGCTAACAGTTTAGAACTGATTAAACTATGAGGAATAAATAAAATTAATTTAGTTTAGTACGTACCATTAACTGTAACACTTGTAGCTGAAATTACCTTTAGAAGCGTTTACGTCATGCAATCTTCAATCCAACAAAATATTAGGTCGACGTATTGCAATGTGGGATACATTTATTCCTCATAGTTCAATCAGTTCTAAACTGTTAGCCCTAGAGCTTCTGTAAGGGTCATGTCGTATTGATCCATTATTATCATCAAAAAACCTAATCTAAACTAACTCAATTGATGTTTGATAGCTCTAACTGTTTCCTCTAGTCCAATAAGGGTCATCTCTTATTAGTATACATTCAACCATGGACCATTAAAAATCCAGCATTCTGATTGGCTAATCAACCATGGACCCTTACATAAGGGTGCGTGGTTGAGAAAAAAGATGGCATGAAATGTTTGTTTTGGAAACGTTTTGAGAGAATTTTGTCAAAACTCCTTTCTCCGAAGAAGAAAAAAGATTTTGGAAAAAAGCGTTTTTATTTTGAGTAGGAGTGCGTATAATAAAAAAATTGCACAACTTGGTCTCGTTGTCAATGGCGACGCTTTCGTTTACTATTCGCTCATAGACAATTTGACTTCGTTGTCTAATTGTTAATTGATGCATGATTATCACAGAAGGAAACCTAACCTAAACTAACTTTTGCTCAATGCGGAGAGCCTTATGTATAATTTCTAACTAACTGTTCTTTCTATAGTAATCCTATCTAAGTTTAGTGTTACTACAGGAAAAATAGTTTATATTTTCAGGCTATACCGAAGACGTATCCTACAAAATTTATAAAGATTTCTTTTTCATAAAGGGGAACGTCTTACAGTCTATCCATGGAAGGCGGTTTATTTTACCATCTTAAAGTGTTGCATTATGTTACTACAACAACAAATTACATCACGTTTGGAGTGACGTTACCAGATGGCACTCAACTGCGTCCAATACCCGGAAAATATTTGTGGATCGAATTGCCAGGTAAGACGATCCATTTTTTGCTTCGTATTAACAACATCAATGTTAAGTGAATCCTAAGGCAAATCCTAACCATAATGTATAAATTCGAGCAGAGTTTGTACAATTCTTAAATTCAAGGCATTGAATGTCCTGGAATTGATAAAGAATTGCTTTGACAGTTTATTGAATTGATTTTGTTCATTTAGTCGAATGGTCTGTGGTAGTATAGGTAATGTCAATAATAACAAAATGTCGGTTGGTAGTGATGAAAACAACAGAGATCATAAATAACACTAGAGGAGGCATCGAGGTTAAAATTTGAGAACGCGGTTAATGGGGGGAAACTTTAGGTTCCGGATATAAAATCATGCTCTCATTGGCTAAATTGAAACTCCTCACCAATGGGAACACGAGTAGACATCCAGGACTTGAATTTGCCCCACAGTAGCCGCACTTTGCGATGGCTCCTCTAATAATCTAGATCTCTATGGATGCAACCACCTGGAAATTACAATGCGAAATTAGACGTTTGAAACAGTGCCCTTCTGCTGGAAGTCAGTAGCCAAAACTATTATAACTTTCTAACGAAGGCCTTCGGTCGAAACATACATCACTACCAACCGAAGTTTTATTAAAATTGTTCATGTCTGTCAAAGGTATTTGTGCAGTTCAGCGCTCAGGCGGCGCAAACTTGCAAAGGTCAGCATAATAATATTATAGTAACAATATGTCATAAAATATATATTATAAATCAAATTTAGTTGCCTACCATATAAATCATAGTTGTAATCATATAAATCAAATTTAGTTGCCTATTTGATAGTGTGCAAATGTTCTCCTTTTATTCCTCTTGGTTGAATTAATATTTTCCGCCGAAAACTTTGGATACTTCCTCGGGTAGAAGAATTTGCATCACAGATTACGTCATCAGTTAGTTATAGTGATTAGTGTTGAGGTTAAGCCTGGTTCACATATGCCTGCGGCATGCCTGTGACTGTATCATTATGCCTCAACTTGCCGCCGAAATACCGGGAAAGTTGAACTCAAGTCAACTTTCCCGGCCTACCGCCGATGTAATTGTTGCACTGGAGGCAATCGGCGAACAAATATTCACATAATTTACGTTTTAAGCTACCACCGGCATCGTCGCCGGTACGTCGCAGGCACGTTGCAGGCATATATGTGAACCAGGCTTTAAGGTTAGGGTAAGGGTAAGGGTTAGATTAAGGATTAGGCTTAGAGATAGGGATTGGGTAATATCTGACGCCGCAAACAACACAACTAGCCGATCATGTGCATGATCAGTTTTCCTCTACCCGAGGAACTAGCCAAAACTTTGCACTCGATGGTTGCGGCCGCTACTGCTATATCTAATACGTGAAAAGGCTAACGACTTGCTATCGTCGATCTGTCGGCACAAGCAGTTTGAATCGCAAATTCTTGATATATAAGTTTTGGGCCATATTTTAACAATGGAAATCAAAATCCATTTTATATTAAACTTACAGAGGCTGACAATTACTACCGCGAACGCCTGGGCAACCAGGCCTCCTTTATTTTTGGGATTTACGGGAGAGGAGGAGGAGGCCGCCTGCTCCAGGCATGCAAATGCTAAAAAGCGAGAAGGACAATGGGGAACAACAAATTGTCGGACTGTATATAGCACGTATGTTATAATAAGAATATGTTACCTCCACTCTTTGTGCTTTAGTGTGTAACTTTATTATTATTCAAAACTCACATTTTAACGGTATAAACGTCGAATCTTATTAACTCTCTGTCTTTTCTACACAATACAATTCTCCTAATCTCAATACCGCATGCTCTGTCACGCCATGTGACGTACTTCTGGTCTATTGCTAATTACGTAATGTTAAATTCCGTGGGGTACAAATGCATTTAAAACAATTTATGATGTCTATATATCATATTTCAAATTAGCCTTTAACATAACGATCATATTTCGAAATAATGTAACGCCATGTAAATTCCAACGATAAAGGAGGCCTGGTTGCCCAGGCATTTGCGGTAGTCATCGCCGGCCTTTGTAAGTTCAATATAAAATGCATTTCGATTTCTATCGCAACAATACGGTCCATCCTAAGCGTAATATGATAATTCAGAACTTTGGATTAAATTGGCATTAAAGTGGACTTCACATTTCTAGTAATAATAATAATAATAATAATAATATAACGAATATTTATACAGGATAGACACTTCAACAAAAAAAACTTCTGTTATCAATGTGTGTCCTGTGTTTACGCATGCACTAAATATAGATACAAAAAAAATAAAGGTAAGATAATATAAATCTAGAGTTAGAGTGTCCATGTTCACGGATTTCTGAAATGTTCGTTCAGCTGTTTCTCGAAGTCATTTGTACTCTCAGCTTTACGAATCTCAAGTGGGAGCTCGTTATACAGTTTTGCACCCATGTAGTAAAATGATCTTCGCGCGTATTAGTTCTCTAATAATATATGTTGAGATTTTTTGGGGTTTTTTAAGTATTTTTTTTCGAGTGTTATTTTTTTGTAGTTATTTCTCTAATGCAATGGCGAACACTTTTCGAAATATTGACGGATGGGAGTGGGAGGGTCGAACTGTTTTTAGTGTTTCAAAAATGTTGGGGGGAGGGATAGAAACTTTCTCTCTCCCTGTCCCCCCTCCACAGTGTCGGTCACTGTTTTAATTTCCGAAAATACATAATAAAATAAAGGTAACTTATCTTTAGAATAAATATTGTAATTCCTTTTATGTAGAAAAAGTACAGTATGAAGATGGGGCAGCCAAACAAGCCCGCCCAGTCAATTCACATTTTGCCATTAATGCAGTAGATAATAATCCGTCGACTTGCTCACTTTCTAAACAATCAAAAGACCCATGGTTACGCCTGTATACTGAATATATTGTGAACGTGCATGCAGTTGCCATTACCAACCGGGTCGAACATTCGTCCAGTCTGGATAATTTCAAAATTAAAGTTGGTGATAACAACCCTGCGAAGAAGGATGATAATCTAACATGTTATGGTCCAGTATCGCATATCCCTGCCGGGAAAACTGTCGCATTCCCTTGTAAAAGACCCTTGACTGGTAAATATGTCGTGGTGTATATATATGGCAATAGTAGAACCCTGTCAATATGCGAGCTTGTTATCTACGGAGAGCGAGTAGTCGGTAAGTGCACGTTTGATTTTAAACTGTATATAAGTTACTTTTTACCAAACATATTTAATGAGAATAAATTTTATTATCCTTCAACTTATCATACTACGGAGTGAACAATAACACAACATAACATAACACTTGCAGAACCAGCATTGTTCGATGCTGAATTAATATAGATTAAACGAGTATGTTTATGACATTCAGTATATAGTTCATAATTTCCAGTCTTAAATCCGTCTGACCGTGTAGCTCAGTTGGCAGAGCGTCGATCTACTAATTCGAAGGTCGCGGGTTCAAAACCCAGCCGCGGCAGGCAATACCTTTCTGCTTGGGCGCGGTCTGGAAATTATACACCCGAGAACATTTTCAAGTTCAGAATGCAACATCTTCAGAGCATTGAAGCGAATTTTACATGGCATGCTATACTACCAAGTCAGTCTTAAATCTTTTGGCTACTTCTAGTATATTAAAGCATATCAATTTCCACAATAATTCAGTCCTTAATGCTAATTTTTACGTCTCTTGAGTTATTCTAATGACAGCCAATTCAAAAAGGCTGTCTTTTGCAAAGCGTAAACCTTAAACCTTAAACTTAAAGCGCGCAAAGTATAATGGCAGCACATGTTCCAAGCTTAGTAGTTGATATTGCAGCAATTTGTGAATGAATTGTTCTGGTAAGGAGGTATTTACCAAGTTTCTAAGGAATTGGCCTCGTATATGATTTCGAAACTGATTAAATGATGCCATGCGGCTAGCATAACGCGAGCAACGCGAACCTGTGTTCAGTGTGGACGTAATTAAGAATACTTCATGTTGGAACAATATTTGGAAAATGTGGTTGCTGCATGCGTGTATTTCTAGCATAGCGTTAGCATCCTATACACTTTCAAGCTCTGACGATGTTGCACTTTATTCAATGAAACGTGATATATAGCTAAAAAAAAGTTCTTTCTTTTAAATACAGTATATGCGCGCAGTATTAAAATTAGGTTCTGGGCTCTGTTATTCACTTTCAAACTAAGGTTTGTGATACTTGTTACGTGACGATAATACCACATTCATTGGAACAACTTGTAGCGAGTATATTGGCCTCATCAACCTTGGTACAAGATGGTTAAAAATGTTTGAAACGTAATTGTAAGCCAGTAAGGTTTTTTCGTATAACTCATTATAACTTGCCCGTTGAAAATTCGTTTAAAACTCGATCCAAACACTCATTAAT